CTCATTCCTGTTCAAAGGCTTGGCAACCAAGCACACAACTGTAAAATGGATAATTCATATCATCATCAGTTGACAAAAACAAATTATCTTGCAATACCACCACCGACGCAGCACCGCAATTTCTCAAGAAGTCTACCCGCCTTAAATACGTCCTTAAAGACTGAGTGGGAACCGAAGTCTTGAACTACGAACTGGGCGCGGCAGGGTGATTTTTATTTTGAGTATTCCGATAAAAGTGCGCGTAGAGCCACTCGGGTCATGTAATAAAATGATCGGCATTTCCCTGAAAACAACCTGACAACACCATCAACTTTGATTCAACCCGTGCATGGCCATTACTTAAGTGAGATCTTTAAAGTAAGGGTTTTCCCAATCTCTCTTATTTGGTCAATGCAGTGAAGATGAATTGTACACATTTCTTAACCTCGCAAAGCCTATAACATTTGGTTACTACTATTGGGTTTGATATAATTCTTTTGCACTTGATATACATGAACCAGTACATAACGATGAAATACAGTGCGCTATTCAATTAGCACTTCCCTGTTAACCCATTACGCCCCAAAATTTATATTCTCCAATTAACTCTTCTCATCACATTTCCTTTGGTACTGACGAGGAGAATTTGTTTGACAATCAGGAGTCTCTCACACTTGTGACTATTTCTTTTAATTTCATGAACTTTACATTTGATTCCAGGGTAATAATGTAGGGGGGAGTTAGAACACAGTCGAGCTAAAGGGTCAGACATTTGTTTTGATTTTAATCTTATTAAGTGATTACATGATTGACATCTTCCGTTACTTTCCTCCTTTCCGCTCCCTTATCTGGAGTTACGGGGCGTGAAAGAACTTGCTCATGACATCTTAACGCATTTACATAACTTAAGTAACATTTAAGAATAAAAGGGTTTTGATTGTATTTACACGACGAAGGTAAGGGCTTCGGAGAATGTTTCAGATAATGTCACACAGCTGTTTTGCAGTGTCACCTCCAAAGATGTGGAACTCACTGTCCAGGGTCTTGGATTTTTGTGACGGACTGCGACAGAGTAGCAGCGTGCTCCTTGCTTGTACACCTGGCAAACGAATTTCTGATCTCTGCACTCAGAAAGATGTAGAAGAATGGATGGAATAGGCTCCGGCTCTGATACAGGAAGGTTAAGACAATCACCACCCTGTAATCCACGTTACGCCAATCCACGATGAAAAGAGATTCCACGGCGGTAATGGCACTCCAAAGGATAAGGTACAACAGAAACATTGCGCATGAGATGTGCAGCACCTCCAAGTTGAGGAGGTGAGTTCCTCCCCTGAAAGACCCAGCCATTGTAGGTGTTGGGGTTGGCAGTCTTGGTTGGGTGCTCACCGGCATGGAGGATGCCGTCGGCGTAGGGTGGATGGAGTTCTTTTTCAGGACAGTTACGGTGATCGCCAGAATGGTGAAGAAAATTGCAGGGCCGAGAGTGATCAGAGTATGAAAAGTAGAGTAGGAAAGGGTGGCGAGGTTGCCCTTCTCCCAAGACAGCCAGCATGTTCCTTCAAACTTGTCATAGGCTCCCCATGTGTTTGGATTCAAGGGTGGGGACGCCAGGAAACCTGCACCGAACCAGATCGTGAACATCAGTAGACGGACAACGGGCTTGTTGATGAAAAACATACAGTAGGCACTCGGGGACTTGACATACAGGAATCGGCTTATTGCAATGAGAGCGACTGTTGCTAGGAACACTGTTGCCAGAGTGTTGTGGAAGAATCCCTGGATGCGACATAAGAACGGTATCATTCCCAGCCCGAAAAAATCGACCCAAACACCTGCAGCCCAAGGTCCGGCTGTTACCAAGGCACTGACAATGTCGATAACCATGAAATTTTGGATGAACATGTATGGTACAGTTCTGAGTCTTATTGACGTTACTATGATAAAGACTAGGTTGAGGAGAAAAGCCAGAGAACTGATACAGGCAAGAGCTTTTAATTGAGCCCAGACGCTGCTTGCCTCCTGAGGCTGCCTGAACAGAGGTACAGGATCTGTAGGAGTGTAGCCGCTGGTAGTGTTGGTAGTGTTGGATTCATTTCTTGGGGTAAAGGTTGAATTAACCTGCAAATCGTTCCCCATTGTCAAACTTGCTATGGGAACTGAAATAAGGCGAGAGAATACAATGATAAGATTTCGATGGCCTTAAATGAAACCGTTCAGAACACTCTATATTCGTTATAACATTTTCCAAGCAAGAAGTTTTCCATCCCCCACTGTATTCTAATCCTTGTTGAAAATCATTCCTCGTGGCTTTCACACCTGTTAATAGAACTGAATGGCTAGGAATCGTTTTGTTAAATTTCTAAAGCTTGAAAAAAAACTAATTAGATATTTCGTTTCCATGATTGCGATTTTGCTCCCGTGATGTATCTTCACCCCTTGTCTCTAAACGCTGTCTGGTTAGCAATGTTAGCGTGGCCGAGAGGGGATCCAAAGGTATCTGTGTTACACTTTGTCAAGCGAGAAGTGACACCTTTATCATTATGAAACAAGCTCTTCTACTCCCCTTATCTAGAAGGCATTTGATTTAAAACTCCTCCCTCACTTTCTCAGTGACAAAGTATCTTACGTACGCCGCCATCTGATCTAAGAAAAACAAAATCAATCTTTCCATCCTGTGAGAAACAATTTGTAAGTGTAGTTTTGATTACGCATGAACTTCTAAAGTTACATTTCTTTGTGTGTCAATTGTTCTTTTGGCAATAAGAACCTAGGATTTTAATTAAACTTTCACCGCTTGGTAAACAAATTAGTCTTTTCTCGGCTTGGGCTTTGTCTTTCTTACTAATAAGCCGCAAAAAGGCTAAGTGGAAATGCACACCAGGTATTAAAAAGTATCGTCGGTTTTTCTTTCTTCCAATTTTGTTAGGTTTTTGAGAAAGAGAACCTTAATACTTTACAGCCAATACGCTTGGGTACCGAAGGGTTGCCCCCTCTGACAATTTCTAAAATTTGAAACAAAGTTTTTGCTAGCTTGCCCACAAAACAAAGGGACAACCTTGGAGTGAATCAAGACAGGATTTGATTGCCCTCGTAGTCAATTTTGACATTTTTGTCAAATTTCTTCCCATTTTTTTACACGTAGAAAGAGCAGGAAAGCTGTGGTCTAAAGAGGAACATGAGAGGTTCTCAATGTCTTGTAAAGAAGAATTAACATGTTTACTCATCAAATTTGATTTCTGGTTATCAATGCGCTTGCTGGAAGTATCACAAATAACAAGCTATATGATAAACTAAACGAGCACCCTTCGACATCATAGAAATTTCTCTCTCTTGGAAATAGATCGATTTGTGAACAAATAAGAGCAAATATTTCAAGACTTTCGAAATGACATTCCATATTCGCCTAATAAAATCGTTGATGCACGCCCGATAGTTCGCAGAAATATTTTCAAAATAATTTTATTATACAATAATAATAAAATAATAATTTTGCCGGTAGTTTTTTGCTTATCGTTAATTCTGCAGTAATCTATAACAAATCTTCTGTTAAAATATGGAACCACAGAGAAATAAAGACTCCGCCATTCTGCCATTCAGTAACCCTTATTAACCGTGAGGTTTTCGAGTGAGATTTTGAGAGACCATTTTAACTGGATAGAGCAACACCCTTACCTTGTTTGCTGATTTCTTCGATCTTCTTCCAGGTGTGTTGGGACTTTGAAATTGAAAAAAGGAGCAATTTAATGGGAAAAACTCTCTCCGCTAACCTTTCATCTAAGCCTGTTGAACCGCCCTTCAAGCTTCGTGACCAGAGGCGTTCACCAGCTAAACTGAAGTTTTTGGTAAAAACTCACTTTTTTCATGATGCGGGGAATATATTTGCTTTCTATTAACGATGGTGTTCCCATATCCCACACACCGGGTCATTGTTGCACAATAACCAAAGTAAAATTGATTAATCTCCCTTCTCTTTGGAGGTACACTAGCTTTTGAAAGTCATTGACGTAAATGGCTCATTTTAGTCCTCAAAGTGCAAGCCGCTTTTTTCAATTAGTTTTAAACAATTATGAGTGTGCCTCTTCAAAGAATCATCAATGACAAAAATTTTCTAGTTTCAATTTCAAACTCAGCTGCTTTTCTATGAAAGATGAACATTGTGCATCCTGGGAGGCGGTTGACTCTTATTTCTACCACTACGTTTGAGGGGAAAAAATAAATTATTTTCTCTTTTGTTGGGATTCTTACTCGGCTGTTGCAGGACCGTGCGGTTACAAGCGATACTGATACCATTTTCTGGCTCTCTACTGACGGAGAGCATCGTACAATGTTGTCTCATATTGAGCTATATCGTTATATGAACCCCGACGAACGATGAAATTTTAGGGAGACAGGAAATTTAGTGTCTAGATTTGAATGGTTGAGATGGTTAGACGTTAGGAAATCCTCTGAATGAGACCCCCCCGGCGTATTCAGATTGATTTTAATTAGCAACTGACTTTGGTAGGATACAGCTGGCACCTGCAGGAAAAGTGATTCATAAAAACTGGGAGAGTGATCAGTCGATGCCTCGCTGTTACCAAATTGAAGGTCAGCCGCTGGAGCTCGACACAACAAGTAGTTCACTCCTTTGTCATTATTCATCAGTCTTATACAAACAACTTATATCCTCAGACAAATTGAAAAGTCTCCTTCCAAGTTAACGATCTGAATGCTCATCTCTTCATCTGAGATGCGCTAAACAACCCCCCAGTGACGTGCCTCACATAGTCTTTTATCAGATATTACATAGACATCTCACGCATTGTTTTTATTTCGTCCTCTTTGGTCACAGTTTACACACACAGAGATTACAATTACTATCCTACATTACCTAAAATTCAAGAATATATATAGAATATCGTTGTTAAATATTAACAGTACTTACAACCGATCTTACTTACAATGCTCTTACTTATGGAGTGACAGTCGAGCCAGTAAGTGGTACTGTATCAAGCGGTCACCCTCGGTCAAACTCCCAAAATTTTTATACCTTTAATTAATATAATTTTCACCTCTATTGAGGGGTCGTAAACACCCTTTACTAAGTTCCAACAGCTGCAAGTAATATCCTTCACCTATACTGAACGGTCACTGACAGCAGAACGACTCAAATAAAACTAATAATAGTCTTTCCAGTAATATTAAATCCATTTTTATCTCCCGAAAACAACGTAAGCAGTATTTTCGAGTGAGTGATGTGTGCACCTTTAGTATAAAATCGGTTTTTTAACATACTCCTATTCTGCTGAACCTGTCTTAAGCGGTGACCCCGCCATTCCCCTGTTCGACTGTAATTTAAGTTACAGCAGTTTTCAATGCAAGGAATTTTTCAGGATACTTTCAGAGTAGTATTTGCAATTACAAACAGAAACTGATACAAGTTTAGATAATCAACAGAATAACAGATAAAATACGTATTAGGGTGAGGGAAAATCGTCCGAAGCAAAACCAGCAGCACGCTTTTCTGTCGTTTTCACAAATGGGAACCTGCGAAAAAGTTCTACTCCAGGACACTGCCTAACATCGTAGCATCTTTGTGCTCTGAAACGCTTTGTTCAGTCGTCAGTGTTTTACTAAACGCAGAATTTTGCGTGGAGACCGCTAGTCGACCTTCATCATTCGTCGTGCGTTTGCTTGCTCCATTTCCTGTACAGTTCTGGTTTACATTATCGTTGCCATACCGACCACAGCTTAGGGCTTTTTTGAAGGCCAGCTGGAACTGTGGATTCATTATTCCATAGATAATCGGATTTACATAACTACTCGAGAACATCAGGTAGATAACTGTTGCGAAGACTTCTCTCGGGATTTTACACCCGGCAGTCTCAATAACAACCACAATGGAAACTGGACCCCAGGTCATCACAAAAACACAAACCACAGTAAAACTTGCCTTCAACAATTTTATGTCCGTACGGCGAGCATTGACACACTGATTCCCTACGTTGTGCGCGTTTAAATTTAGCGAGCTTTGTTTCACTGTTTGGTATATTTTATAGTAGCAATAAAATATTGCAACTGTACAACCGTTTACAACCCCACCAACAACTAATATGAGGTACGAAATTTGTTCTATCTTCCAACTGAAAGTACAGACAGAGAATTTCGCATGAAATTCAAACTTTCCCCATCCGTACAACGGAGGTGTGGCGCATAGGAGAGCAACCAACCAGACAAGAACACAGTAAAACCAAGCAGTTCTCTTGCTGGGAAATATTCTGCTATAGAGGGCTGGTTTTACAACTCTTATATATCGATTTAGTGCAATTACGCCCATATTTAGAATGGAAGCGATACCCAGCGTAAATTGTATCATTGCAGATATCTCGCACCACCGTTGGGAGAAATTCCAAGTTCCAGTATAGAGGCTCACGATCCAAAATGGCATGTGAAGCGTCGCCATGGAGATGTCAGTTAGTGCCAGATTGCGGATGAAAGTGTTGGTGATACTCTTGAGCCTGGAGTCTTTATTAATCACATAAGTAACAAGCAGATTTCCAGGTATACAGGCAAGGCAAACGAGAATGGCCAGGCTCACCTCGAAACCAATTTCAGTGCGCGAACGACCAAGAGGATCTGTAGCAATTGAGTCAGAATTGTTCACCATTTTGTGGTGAAACAGGCTGGAAGATAAAAGGGCCTAAACATCAAGAGATAAACATCAATCAACACAAAGCATCAAATAAAGAGTGCTGACAATAGAGGACCGGAATTCACTTTTTGTTTGAAAGAATAAAACTTACTACTGATTATGTTCTTGCGACCTGTTAGCTGCATACACCTTGAGAAATCATTAGCATTTATGATTAAGAAAAGCAACGAGTGTTTTAATAGACACTTCTAATTTTCATCAACGCGTCTGGTGGTGCGATTATTCTGTGGAGAGTGAGACCGAGGACTGAGATTAACATGAAATCTGTTTCGGAGAATGAACAGTTTATTGATCACTTCCGATCAAATTTGCTTTTATCTCCCATATATTTAAGCATGATATTGAAAAACGTTGCCGAAAATTGGGGGAAAAAAAGATGGGTAAAATTTCCGCATAGCCCCATCCTACATTATGCATTCAGTTCTTGAATAGAGAAAACAATGACAAAAACAATACATTTCCATTGGGAAAACAGATTTGTTTTGCAATAGTATGGGGCTGTACGGAAACTTTACCAAAAGATGTAAAATATCTCTTTGTGTCCAGGCTTGCCAACGTTATCCAAGGTTGTTTCACATTTTTTCCTCACCCTTTAGTCGTCAATTCATGCATTAATGAAGACATTTGGAGTTTTCTAGTTGATTGAATCATCTTTTCAATGTATTAAGAGAGTTACGTTTATCTGTTCCAGTTTTTTGCGAATCTTACTTTGAAGTGGAAGCACAAAATAATTATTTACAAGCGAAATACTCAAATTTGAAATTCAGAATTACATGCTTTCAACTCCCGAGGAAATTTGTTTTGATTTTTTAATTCTCGCATTTGTGTTAATCAACTTGGGGCGAGAAGCAAATTCAAATTTGCTTGATTGATCTGTTATTGCTTATTCCAAGAAAGAAAAATAAGGGGCTTAATAAGTAATCGAGGCCCGTTGAGCACTTACCGATACTGCGTTCAGTCACTACTTTAACTTACCAACTAGCTTGAAGGAAGATCTTCTAACAAGGGTGATTTTCAATCACGGAGCACTTTGTCAAACTTTACGGTGCATGATTAAAATAAAAATCAATCTAGATATTGAAATTTCTAAAGTCTGCTCTTCTTTGGTTCTTTGGCGATGTATTCAACCAAAAAACGTGGCCAGCTTCTTTAACCTTTCGACAATTTTCGACCGGTTTACATGAAAATGCATGTAATGTTTCTTTTGTAATCCACGGTTACTCATTTACTGTGTTATTATTTGCTGGTCTATAAGTACAGCTTGCACAACAAAGCCACATATAGATTTTACATTATTCTGTATAATGGTGCCTTGCATCTGCTTTTGGACAGATCCCACGCGGGACAATTTTTGGAGAATTCATGGGCATGCCACAATTATCAGGCAAAAATTTCCTTTCCCCTTTGGCAGCGAATTTCTTTGCATGCAATGTGAAGCCATAGGCTTTGGCTCTTCTCGATGGAAATTCAAAAGAAAATCAAAAATGCTTCTCATGTGTGATTAATAATAAGGCAAAGATCTTCCATTTATTAAGAAGAAGCGGTTTCAAGCGAAAAAGAAAATTGTTTTCGAAAGTTACCTTTGGAACTTTTTCAATCTTTACTATTCAACCAGGACCTCTATTCAACTCACCTTTTCCTGCAATGATATTGATATTTGAAACCCTTGCTTCGTACTGATTCAAACTGAGACAGCGTAATCAAAAGTCTTCTTCTATCACACTAGTATCACAAGTCACTGTTCAAGGGACGTTGAAAAAGAGAAAAAATCCTTTTTACGACATTTTATCCATGAGAACATTCAAATGGATGCAGCTGCAAAGCGAGTGACCCTTCAGGGAGAACATTAATTACTACTCGCTTCTCTGAAAATAAACTATCGCAAATAACGCACGTATCATACAAGGCAAATATTAATGGAGCTTCCGCGAGGTGCGAATTGACTATTTTGTTTTATGAGTGATTTGTTAGTTTCTGTCAAATTTCCGCATTTCTCACCGCTATTGATTTATGGTTCATAATGTATTTTTTATTCACTACTTTGGCTCTTAAAGTGATTAAAACACTAGTGGCCGATTTTGGATTTTGGACCCTAGTGGCCGATT